ATCCACATGGATTACTGCGTCGTAGCTGTTCCTGACGTGAAAAGGTGCGCCGTTGAAACGGTCAAACTCCTCGAGCCAAAATTGGAGCTCCTCTGCTGCAGATGGGGGGATAACCACGCTGCTTTTCCAAGACGGTGCTTCGTTGATCACTTGCAACATAGCGTGGCTGAATGCGCGAGCGGTCGCGCCAAGTGCGACACCCATCTATGCAAGCATCCCAGTGATTCTGGCCACGTGGCGGACCGGGACTGGTCGGCATGCCCTGCTTGCGCTCAGGAGGTTCTGGATGATTGCATGTAGAGAGGCTCGTCGGTCGGGACCGATGGAGAATCGGCCGGTGTCGGTCTCCAGTTCTACGCCCAAGAATCGGAGATGTTGCGATGGTGACAGTTGTGATTTCTTCGCGTTTATCACAAGGCCTGCCTCTTTGAGGTCCAATATCACCTGCTGGCAGATTGCTTGCGCATCGGCTTTCGACTGGAAGAGACATAAGATGTCATCCACGTAAGGTACGACTCGGATGCCTTGTTCTCGCCAACGCCGAGCTAGTTGCTTGATGAGTTGTGTAAAGACGGATGGAGCCGTCGCGAGGCCGAATGGTAGTGAACGAAATGCGTATGTGCGCCTATCAAATTCGAAGCCAAGGAACTTCCAGCACGATGGGTGGATGTCGATGTGATGGTAACCAGATTTGAGGTCAATGGAGAACATCCAGTCCCCAACGCGCGCCAGGTCGGCGACGCGGCTGAGCCCCTCGTACTTGAACTTGGGGACAATCAAGTTGGCGTTGACCTTTCTCAGATCAAGAATGAGTCTGCATTTGTCTTTTTGCTCGACCACGTTAAGTGGACTTATGCACTTGAGCTCCGTTGCGGCCATCGGAAATGCCGCTCCCGTCTCTATGAGTTCTTGGATGGCGGTACGTGTGAACGTGGCATGCGTGTTCGCCCCGACATGATTGCGATCGTGGAAAGGTTGTGGTGGGCCGTGGCTCCATGGCAACCAGTAACCCTTGACGATGATGGAGAGAACGAGGCTGCTGGGGCACCATGAGCTCCACCACGCAAAGGTCGCGCGAAGACGACCGCGCATCTGTGTAATAGTTCTGTCTGTAACGGCAAATTCGTACGGGTCATCGTAGCCTGCCGCCTCGCACCGTCGTGCTCCTGTGCATGGAAGGCCAAGTGGAATACGGGTTGAGTATTCCATGTTAAAGCATGTGTGTGCATGTACATGTACGGGCAACCCTTGATCAAATGTGTGAAGAAAATAAAAACCGACGGAAATGTCAACAAATGTGTCGGGCGCGAAACGACGCTTCTTTTTCTCCTCGTTTCCTCCGCTTTTTTTTTTTTTTTTTTTTTGCCCATCGTGCACTCGGTAGGATGTGGTTGTGCCTGCCCTTAGTGCCTGGGAGATGATGCCTATGGCCATAGACACACTTGTCCATTGTGTTTCTCTTATTCTCTCTTGTTCTCTCTCTCTCTTTCTCTCTCTCTCTCTCCATCTCTCTCCCTCCCTCTCTCTCTCTCTCTCTCTCTCTCTCTCTCTCTCTCTCTCTCTCTCTCTCTCTCTCTCTCTTGCTCTCTCCCTCTCCCTCTCTCTTTCATGCTCTCTCTTATTCGTAGTTCGTGGGGGCTGGTGCGTGGAATCATGGACATGCGTGCCCACCATGTTGTATCTCGTTCTTTCTCTTGCTCTCTTTCTTTCTCTCTCTCTCTCTCTCTCTCTCTCTCTCTCTCTCTCTCTCTCTCTCTCTCGCTCTCTCTCTCTCACACACACACACTCTCTCTCTTTCTGATCCTCCTCTTGATTGTTTCAGAGTCTCTTTGCCAAAACAGTAGGCTTTTAAGAAGGTTTTTTTTTTTTTTTTTAATCAATCAACCAACACACATAGCAATGCTCTCCTAGCATGCATCATGCTACTGAGTGGTGAACTACATGGGACCGAGGGGGTTGTTGCTCCCCTTCCCTATCCTAGGCCCAAAGCCTATTCCTACCCTTCAATAGGGCTGGCCTCTTGCCATCGCAAACCCCTAGGGTTGCCCACGGTTTTCGCACTCAAGAGTGCACCGTGCCTAGCGCTCAAGCGCCTATTCCCATGGCCCGCTCCTACACCACCGGAGCGGGTCCTTGGCCGCCGTGCCCGTTCTTAGGGCAGGCACTTGCCACGTGGCCCGGCTGACCGCAGCGGAAGCACGAGCCCCGAAACCCGCGGCAATTGGCCGTGGGCGGGGGGCCCCGCTTGGGTAAAAACGGCAACGGCGCGTTGTTTCCGCCGCGGTTGGCACGAGCATATCCGCTTGCCGCACGGTCCATTGCCGCCATGTCTGCGACCGCCTGCTTGAAGGGTCGAGAAGTCAGCAGGCTCTTCTGCTGGTACAACTTGAAGCGCTTCGCCGTGCGGAAGTCGGATGCGTCCTCCACTAGAAGCACCTCAAAACGCCCCGAGATGAGGTTGAGAGTGTGCGAGATGAGTTCGAGTCCGCCCGCTGGGTCTCCGCGCTGCACCTTATATTCCGCGTGCAGCAGGTACGCGCGTAAGTCCTCCAGCAGCTCCGCTTGCTCTCGCACGGAGTCGTTGACGAATGTTGCCGCCGAGAAGGTGAGGTTAGAAGAAGGGAGGGGGGGAAGGTGTTCCGTGCCATTAAAATTAACATTGTTGACTAGAGCCTCACCGGCGTCATCTTCAGAGTCGTCGGTGTCGTTGTCGACCGCTAGAGCGGGGGGTGCTGCTGCTGCTGCGTCGTTGTCGTGCCGAATGGTCCTTGCTCCTCGCACGCCTTTTTCCTTTTTCGCATTTTCTTTTTTAGCCGACGCAGATGCAGCGGGTAGTGTAGTTTCCGCGGCTGTAACGCTGACGGGCTGCTGCTATAGAAGGGACAGCAGCGCGTTGACCTGGTCCGGGGTCAAAGCCTGCGTCAACGCAGGGGCGGTCGTCGCGTCAAACGAGGAGACCGCCGTCCGCCTCCTCTGGCGCTGACGCGACGGTCCAGCCGCGGGTGATGGCGTGTGCTCGGCGTTAGTGGCGTGTGCCACGCCCGCGGCCGTCGCCACTTGCGCCGCAGGTGCCACTAGCGCCACAGGCACCTCAGGCGCCACTGGCGCCACTGGCGCCGAAGGGTGCTGCTGGGCGTTGGCCGAGTTGTTGACCTCGAGCCCGCCCAGCAGCACGTCCACTGCAGTCGGGGCGGGCGTTCCATCTTCTGCCCGTCGCTTGTTACGGCGTTCGCCCGCCAAATCGCGGGTGTTACAGTCGTTGTCGGAGGCGGGGTTGGACGAGTTCCCGTTGTTAAGTGTCGGCGTCGGTGCCATCGTTGAGCGATTGAAGTTGAAAATATCGTTGAGTAAGGTCGAAGGTGACTCGCCTCTAGGAAGCGATTTTGTTCTAGCCAGCTTGGACGGAGGGATAAACTACGTGAGCAGAAATGTTGAGTGAGCCGTTGGAAAATCGAGAAGCGTGGGTGGAGGGAAATGAACTCCAACCCACGGTTTTTGTAGTTGGAGAAGGGCGTTTAGCGCGCTTCGGCGATGCCAATTGTGCAGTACAAGCAGCTTCGCTTTCACAATACACAATTTTAAAAAACACAATGTGTGTTTAAAAATTATAATTTTGTAATACTGAATGTAGTTAGACATACCACCTATATGCTGTACCTGCCACTCATGGAGTCATGCTTATTCTCGTTGCTGCTGGTCTCGTTGCTGCACCTGCTGCTGTAGCTCGTGAATCTCCTGCCTTTGCATCACGGCTACTGCTGCTACTTGCTGCACGCACTGCTGTAGCACCTGCTGCTGTTGCTCCTGCTGCTGAAGCTGTTGCTGCTGCTGGAGCAGCAGTTGCTGCTGCTGCTGTATCTGTAGCATCAGCTGCTGCGGACTCGCCTCATGAGTCGGCAACAGCACCTGCTGCTGTGCTTGTGGCTCATGCGCTTGTGTCAACTGGTGTATACGCTGCTCCCACTTTTGCTGCTGCTGCTGGTGCTGCTGCTGCACCTGCTGCACATTTGATGACAGATATTGCAACAGCCAATTCCCCTCCTGAATTGGCATTGACGGTTGAAGCTGCACTGTTGACTGCAGTCGTTGAAGCACCAAAGCCATGGCAGCATCGGAAGCAGTGGCAGCCATCCCGGGTGGATGATGAGAGCCATGCAGCCTGCTTGGGGGCCCCATGCCCCCCATGGCTCTCACCACTCCTGGTGTCACAATCGTCTCCATGCCGCCACCAGCAGCAGCAGCAGCAGCAGTGCCAGCAGCAGCAGCAGCAGTGGCAGTATGAGCAGTGGCAGCAGGAGCAGTGGCAGCAGGAGCAGTGGCAGCAGGAGCAGTGGCAGCAGGAGCAGTGGCAGCAGGAGTGGCCACTGCTGCCGCCACAAGTGCCGTCTCCACCACTGCTTCAGCCAGATTCTGGGAGAGAGAGAGCGGCACAGATGTACCTTCCCCAGGCGTGGCCTGCATGGCTCCTGCTGCCTCTGCCTGCACGAAGAACTCCAGCCCTGGATGCAACCTCCCCCGCCTGCTGCTTGCGCCCACAACCCCTCTTCCTGCCTGCTGCCCCCTGCCTGCTGTGATACCTGGGTGAACTCGGCTGCTCTCCCCTCCCTGTGTGCTCTCATCTCTGCTGCCCTCCTCAGACCCGTCACTCTCGCTCCCACTCTCACTCCCACTCTCACTCCCACTCGCACTGCTCTCACTGTCACTACTGCTATCGCCACCACTGCTTCTACCATCAACCCCTGCCTTTCTATCCCGCCTGCCATTCACTCCCTTGCGCACATCCCCCCATGTAACCCTCCTCTGCTCCCCATTGCGCTTCGATTTTCCTCTGTCTCGCTGCCTCTCCTCCTCTCCCTCCTCTCCCTCCTCACCCTCCTCTCCCTCCTCGCCCTCCTCACCCCCTCGCACCATCAGCATCTTCCATGCATTCTGAAAAGCTGATCCTTTTGCTGCCCGTTTCCCTGCCCGCCCATCCTTCGGAACCTTTCTACCTGCCCGATTCAATCGTTGCAACTTCCTTTTCCTCCCCTCCCTCCTTCCCGTTCCCTGACCCTCAACGCATGCAGATAGGGGAGGGTGAGAGGGGGGAGGGTGAGAGGAGGGAACGTGAGAGAGGGGAGGGTGCTGCTGGGAAGCATAGGGTTGGTGGAGACGACTCGGTTGGGGTGTGCCAAGCGGACGGGAGCTGGGCTGATAAGGGCTGGGTTGATAAGAGGTGGGTTGATAAGAGGTGGGCTGATAAGAGGTGGGCTGATAAGAGTTGGGCTGATAACAGGTGGGTTGATAAGCAGTGGGATGATAAGAGGTGGGTTGATAAGAAGTGGGCTGATAAGGAGTGGGTTGATGAGAGGTGTGCTGATAAGAAGTAGGTTGATTAGAAGTGGGCCGATAAGAGGTGGGCCCATATGAGGTGGGTTTGTACGACGCGGGTGGATAGGGGCCCGGGTGGCAGGGCTGTGCGGGAATGGGCTGAGAGCCCCCCTGTGCTGCAAGTAGCTGCCCGAGATGCTGGCTCTGCTGCAATGCCTGCAGATTAGAGGAGCGCAGGGGCAGAGAAGCAGGCACGGGGCCAGCAGCTGATGGCGTGGTGTGAGCGTGTGAGCGTGCGGGCATTGCTGCTGCAGTCTGTGTGGAGTGCACCTGCTGCCATCTGCCTGCTGCTGCTGCTGCTGCTGCCTGTGCGCCACCCCATGCACCCATTGCTCTGCTCTGCCCATGCTGCACTGCCCCCACCCCCACCCCCACCCCCACCCCCACCCCCACCCCCACCGTCGCTGCTGCTCCTGCACCTGCCAGCGCTGCCTCTGCCGTGAGCGGGGTGGGGCGGGGAGCAATCGGCCGTGGCTGGCAGGCAGGTGCTGCGCTGTACTGCCGCCCTGCCGGGTGGCTTCGACGTCCCACTTGGTGCTCGCTGAGTGGCCATGATCCCATGCCACCACCACCACCATCGCCACCACCACCATCATCATCATCACTATCATTGTTATTCCCACCATCACCACCATCACCAACATGAGCATCAGCAATCCCACTGCGATCAAAGTACCAGTACCCTTGTCGCACGCATCGCACCCACGTTCCCTCCCCTTCACGCCTCCTCTTCCCGTTCCCTCCACCTCCACCACACACACCTTGCGCCACTGCATGCACCGTGCGCTCGCCCTGCCCGTCCCTGCTTGCACCTTGCTTCAAGGCATGCACGGTGCAGTGGTCCTGCCTGGCCCTGCATACAACCCCCCCATACACCTTGCATGCCACGCGTGCCAGCAGCCTGCCATGCCACTGCGGCCCGTCCAGTGCCAGCAGCAATGCACGCACGTCCTGCCACGCCACCCACTGCAGCAGCACCGCGCTGGGGTCCCCATAAACGCCCTTCTCCTGCCCCACCTTTCCCTTCTCCTGCCCCACCTGCCCCTTCTCCTGCCCCACCTGAACCTTCTCCTGCCCCACCTGCCCCTTCTCCTGCCCCACCTGCCCCTTCTCCTGCCCCACCCTTCCCTTCTCCTGCCCCACCTTTCCCTTCTCCTGCCCCACCTGCCCCTTCACCTGCCCCACCTGCCCCTTACCATCATCCCCAGCCTTCACCTCCTTCTCCCCATCGCCACCCTCCCTCTGCTGCACGCCACCTGCCAGCCGTGCTCTGATGCGCCCCTCCCACGCGTGGCCCAGCAGCTCGGAGCGCTGCTGCCACAGCAGAGCCAGCAGCTCCTCGCTCACCGCCATGCCCCACGTGGCCTGCACCGCGCCCACCACCACTGCCTGCTCCCGCGCCTCCTCCTCGTCCGCTCGCCGCCCCACCACCCCCTCCGCCACCCACTCACACAGCGCCCGCTGCACTGCCGCCACCACCACTGGTGCTGCTGGCTCACCTGCCGCTGCACCCACAGCCACCGGTGCCACCTCCCCTGCCGCCTGCAACTCGTCAGCCATTTCATCCTCTCTCACCCGCCCTCCCGCTTCACCATGTCGCTCATGTCTTCCCTCATCTCGCTTTCCTCCACCAGTTCCCTCCTCTCTCACTTCTCCCCTCGCTTCCAGTCTAGCTTCCCCTCTATCTCCCACCTTTGAACCATCTGCTCCACGTGCTTCATCTGCTCCACGTGTTTCATCTGCTCCACGTGTTTCATCTGCTCCACGTGTTTCATCTGCTCCACGCGTTTCATCTGCTCCACGAGTTTCTCTCCCACCTCGTTGCACCTCTCTCAACTCCTGCACATGTCGCTCCACACGCTGCAGAAAATGCCTTCGCCACGCCTCCTCTTGCCGCTCCCTAGCTGCAGCACTTGCTACAACACCAGCAGCAGCACCATCACCAGCAGTAGCACCATCACCAGCAGTAGCACCATCACCAGCAGCAGCACCATCACCAGCAGTAGCACCATCACCAGCAGTAGCACCATCACCAGCAGTAGCACCATCACCAGCAGCAGCACCATCACCAGCAGCAGCACCATCACCAGCAGTAGCACCATCACCAGCAGTAGCACCATCACCAGCAGTAGCACCATCACCAGCAGCAGCACCATCACCAGCAGCAGCACCATCACCAGCAGTAGCACCATCACCAGCAGTAGCACCATCAGCAGGAGCATCAATAGCACTGGCAGCGGCATCATTCCTCTCCCAACTCTCTCCCTCTCTCCCACCCGCACTCATCCCCTCCTCCGCGCCCTCGTCCTCCCTATGCGCCTCACTCGGCCCCTCACTCGGCCCCTGTGTGGGCCACCGGATCACAACGGGCGCCGGGTCCCCCTGGCGGGCAGAAGTGAGCTTCAGGCGTGCCAGCGACCGCAGGGCCTCGAGGCGGCGCAGGAAGCGGCGGCACCAGTAGATCTCTAGCTTGGGGTAGCCCCTGCCGCTGCGGTACAGCAGCGGGGCGATGCGGCGGGCTGCCTGGCGCAGCATGGGGCGCGTGAGAATGAACGGCACCCCGTGCTTCCCCAGCAGGCTCCCACCCACCTGCGCGCTCACGGTCCCACCAAGATGAGGTTGAACGGTGGTGGATGACCCCCTTCCCGGGTCCAGTGGGCCAAAGAGGCGCCTCATATGCTCCTCCATGATCCCACCTGCAGCAGCAGCAGTGCCACCATCCTCACCGTCTCCACTCTGAGCACCACTGGGAGTTGCAGCACCGGCGGCAGCAGCAGAACCAGCAGCAGCACTGCTGGGTTCAGCAGCAGGCGAGCCCCAGCGGAAGCCAGGCGGGAAGGAGAAGCGGGCGCGGTCGAGGAGGATGGTGGCGGACAGCTGCTGCACCCACTGCAGCAGCACCACCTCCACTCGCCCCGCCCTCTGCCCCTCCTCCCTCTGCACGCGCTCCTTCACCCGCCCCTCCACCCCCGCCCTCTCTATGCCCCCCGGCACCACCATCCACCTGCAGGGGGACGCGGGGAGAATGGGGAGGGGGACGGGTATGAAAGAGCGGGGGGGAGGAGAAGTAGAGGGAGTGCAGAGATGACTGACAACGGTGCCAAGGCAAAGATGGTGGAGGGCGAGTGAGGGAGCGAGGGTGGTGGAAGGGGGGGCGAGGGAGAGAGGGAGGCACACCTGGAGGTCTGGGCGAGGATGGCGCGCAGGTCAAGGGGGGAGAGCGCCAGGCCCCACGCCTGGTCAATGGCGTGCAGCAGCTGGGCGTGGGGCAGGTGGGGGCGGGCGAGGGCGGCGAGGCAGATGGCTCTGATGCGACTCAGCGTGAGGCCTGGCAGCTGCCGCTCCACCACCACGCCTGCCGCCGCATCCCCACACACCAGGTACACCCGCCCGCCCTCCCCCTCTCCCTCCTCCTGCTCGCGCTCCGTCTGCCCCTCTTGTGCCACCCCACTTTCACCACTGCCTTGGCCCCTGCATACACTTCCTCTCTCGCCTCCTCCTGTTTCTCCCCTTCCTCTCCCCCTTCCTCCAGCCGCTCCTCCCCCGCCAGCTCTGCCCAGCGCAGGTGGCAGGCGGTGGAAGTGGAAGTGGGGCAGCACGACGCTCTCGGTGCTCACCTCCCTCTGCAGCGCCTGCAGCTCGGGGCTGTCCAGGACGGGCAGGGGGGACACGGAGCGCCATGCATGATCGTGCCAAGGAGATGGGGACTGTTTGGTGCCACCCACTGCACCCTCTTCTCTCCCACTGCCACCATCCCCTGTTCCCTCCCCTCTCCCATCGCCACCATCCCCTGCTCGCCCCAGGTCTGCCTCCCCTTGCCTCTCCACCGCCTCTCCCTGTGACACAGCACGGCCCACAGGCTCCTCACGTCCCTCTGCTGGCGCTGCTGGCGCTGATGACTCGCCACGCTGCACGTGGTCCTCTCGTGGCGCTGGTACTGGTGATTCTGATGCTGGCAGTGGCGGCAGCAGGTGGGCGTCCAGAAGGGCCTCCTCCAGCACGTGGGAGGGCAGCATGGCGCCCTCGTGGCGAGCCAGGCGCATGAGCAGAGCGCGTGCATGGCGGTACGGGTTCTCCACCCCCGCCAGCAGCCCCATCCGCCTGTCCCTCTCCCACCCCGTGCTCCTGTTCGCGCTCACCCCAGCAGCAGCAGTAGCACCACCAGCAGCCCCAGCTGCACCAGCAGTAGCAGCAGCATCACAACCATCAAACCCCGCCCAGTCCTCCTCATACTCCTCCTCAAAGTTCTCCCCCTCCGCATCCTCATCGTCACTCGCTGTTCCCATGCGCCTCACTTTCGTCCTCAGCCTCCTCCTGCCTCTCCGCCACCACTCCACTTCACTCCCACTTCTTCCTTCCGCCCCTCCGCCCTTCCCCTTCTCCACTCCTGTCCTCTCCCCATCGCCCCCCTCCCAGGCGCCCCGGCGTGCCTCAGCCAGGCGCAGCAGCAGCAGCCCGTACCGCCGCACGAACCTGCTCGCCCATGCCTCAGTGCACCGCCCCTCCTCCACGCCGCACCCCCGTGCCAGCTCCCTCGCCTTCCCCACCAGCTGCACGCGGCTCACAGCGCGCCCCGCGCCCTCCTCCTCCGCCACCACCCACAGCGCCACTGCCTCCTCCAGCGCGCTCTCCCCCGCGTCCGCCGCGCCGGGCGCGCTCCCCTCCCCCGCGTCCGCGCGCACCCAGCGGCGGCTCTCCTGGACGATGTGGCGGACGTACTTGGGAATGAGCCACAGCCCGTAGCGCGCGTGCACGGCTGCCGTCACAATCCGCGGGCTCAGGAACGGCCGCACGCACGCCAGCATCGCCACCTCGTACCGCACGCGCGCCGCCAGCGCGCTCGCAGCCGCGTTGGCCGCGCCCGGCGCCGCGGCCGACCCGCCGTTGGGCGTGCTGCTGGAGCGCACGGCCGCGGCGGCGCTGCCCCGCGCCCACGACGGTGCGCCCGCAGGTACCTGCTCCTCGTCGGCCTCTCCGCCCTCATCGCCCCCGCCGCTTGTGCCCGCACTCAGCTCGCCTGCCGCAGCGCCGCCTAAGCCGCCTTCGCCAGCACTAGCGGAGTCCGGCGCCTCTCCGTTACCGCGTGCGACGCGGTCGTCCTGTTTCTCCCCCTGCGTGTCGCGCGTTTCCGCCTCGTCCCTCCCCCGCGTCCCCCCTTCGTCCCCCGAGCGCGTCCCCACCTCCTCGCCGCACTCGTCGAGACCCGCGTCGCGCAGCACTTCGCAGCACCACCAGCGCTCGAACTCGAACAGAGGAGGCACGCCGAACCGCTCTGCGACGCGCCGCGCGTGTTTCTGCAGGTTATGCACGATGCTCGACCTCTGGACCTTTGTCTTCCCCCGCGCCGCCCACCACGCTTCGAGACGGAGCCGCCTCTCGCGCGTCCAACGCGCCAACTCCGCCTCAAGCTCCGCGTTCTTATAACGAACGAACTTATTCTTCCCTACGCTGCTTTCGACGGTGGCCTTTCGATAGAGTCGATCGATGTCGCTGCTGCCGAGGCGCGTGCCGTACTGCGCGTTGACGGCCGTCGCGATGTGCTCGTTCGCGAGCTCGGGATGCGCGCGTCGCACGGCGACGATTTCGCGCAGCACCAACGGGCTCACGGCCGCCGCGCGGCTTTTGCCCCGCTGGGCATCGGGCGGAAGCTCCATCGCGCGATCCGCTGCCTGCCTTGGCTCGGCTATTCGTTGCTAAGGGGAGCACTTCATTTTGTCGTCAGACACACGACACCTGTCATGGGTTGATTGCACCGCTCGGCGTTGAACGCCTAATCCATTAAATCAACACAGGCATTTGCAACATGCACTAGAGAGTGTGTGCCTTTGCAAACGGGTATTTGCAATTTAGGGTTTCAGGAGGAAAATGGAAGGTTCAGCAGTGGGGTCCTCTCCAGGGCTGTCGATTCAAGGGCATTTGCCCTTAATGCCCTGAACATTCCGGGTTATGTTCGGCGCAGCTCGACCATTTTAAGGGTTTGATTCGACTGGCACCCATGCCAGTTAGGGCATCGTTTGGCCCTTCCCCGGACGCGTTAAGTGCTCAATCTGGGCCATCCCCTGTATCTAAGTTCTACTTTCGGTTCCGCAGACCACCCCCTAAAATCTTGCGTAGCACCCCCCTCCCCTACCCCCCCTCTCCATGAAAGTTGCACAATAGGGCGACAGGTAAGGATGTTTCACTCGATTTAATCCAAACTTAGTGTTTGTGTAGTGTCGAAGTCAGGAGATGAGTATAAATGCAGTAGGTAGTGCAACTGTAGTTGTAGTTGGAAGTTGTGACATACAGGTTGACTGGAGTAGTTGGTAGTGAGAAGTATGTGATTTTCTTGTCTATGATGTTGTTTAGGTTAGTTAAGTACACAACACATTGGAGCCCGGATTTCAAGTTACACTTCGGCCTGCACCCGTGACCGTTAAGGGCGAAAATTTGGTCACCTCCCTGAAAATCAGGGTCAGAATTTCAGCAGCTGGGGGCCTCAAGTTCTGCCCCCAGGGATATCGACAGCCCTGGTCCTCTCTGCTTGGATCCTTTTCAACCTGGCTTCCCTGCAACGCTGTTTTTACCCCCCTGGCAGTCTTGAACAGGTTCCACGGGCTGGCCCAAAGAAACCTGCATTATTGTTTCAGACAGATCATATTTAGTCGGGTAGTCTTAATTTCAAAACCGGGGTCACAAGTTTAGCAAGACTGGTTCAACCAACCAACCTTTGTTGGGTGTAACCCTGTTGACAGCGTGTGGCACTGAAAGACGGTACAAGCATCTCCACAAAAAAACACCACCCGAAATTACTGTAGCTACAAGGTCGTCCGCACCTTCAAGTGTCGCACAGATAACTGGTAGGAAACCTGAAAGCTGCGGGTATTTTACAGTCTTGTAGGGCGTGTTCAGCTCGTACGTTTTCAGTTCATTTTGTGCGGTTGACCGCTTTGCGTCACGGTGAACAAAGGTGAAAATATATAATCGCTTTGCACCTTTTGATATTGTTTTTGCACCACGGTAGTTGAACTGTATATGAACCGAAAACGTACGAGCTGGACACGCCCTTAGTGTAGGTCACCACTGTAAATGACTATCGACGAGAATCAGAGCCTCCGATTTCGTAGGTCATCAACTTACCATGTCCAGCCAATGAGAATGCCCACATTAGGCATAGGTTCGACATAGTGGACCACGTCTGCGCAACTATTTCGCAGAAACGCGCATTTTGTCCTTTGATTGGCTTAGGTCACGCCAACGAAGGCGTACTAGTAGCGTGGGCAAGGCGTCAGCTTTGGCGCGAGGAAAATCGTGGAGTCACTCCCAGCCCTGGGCGGAGCAAGAGAGTCGCCTAACGTAAGACGCTGGTACGGTCGTATCTCGAATTTAGAATGGAGGAACGACCAGCAGCCTAATTCGCCCAAAGATTATGCAATGTCGTTCAACTCGCATGCAGGGCTTCAGGCGAACATCTCCTACCGTCCTAGCGACGAGGAAGGGGAGGGCTAGCGAGGGGGAAGGAGAGTGCTAGCATGGGGGAAGGGGCACGCTAGCGTGGGGGAAGGGGAGTGGTAGCGTCGGGGAAGGGGAGTGTTAGCGTCGGGGAAGGGGAGTGGTAGCGTCGGGGAAGGGGAGTGGTAGCGAGGGGGAAATGGATGTCTTACGTGAGGCCAGGGGAGCGACACTGTGAGGGAACGGTAGTGCTCCCGTGGGGCAATTCTGTGCGACCGTGGGGGAATGTGGAGTGCGATCGTGGGGGAAAGGGGAGTGATACCGTGGGGGAAAGGGGGTGGTACTTGGGGGAACAAGGGAGTGCGACCGTGGGGAAATGGGAGTGATACCGTGGGGGAAAGAGGGTGGTACTGGGGGGATCAAGGGAGTGCGACCGTGGGGAAATGGGGAGTGCGACGGTGGGGAGATGGTGCGGGCGACCGTGGGGAAAGGGGAGTGGTACTTGGGGGAACAGGGCCTTGATACCGTGTGGGAAAGGGGAGTGGCACCGTCGTCACCGACCCTAAACGGTCGTGGACGAATGGATGCTGATCTTCTTGTTATTTCACGAGGCGATAGTTGGTCGCAGTGCCTTGATTGTATGGCGTCGCGCGGTGCAAACCTTCCTATGGATCATTGTTGATCCGGGGGGGGGACTGACTCCATGCCTCGGGTTCCACGGCACCCCGCATGTAATCCGCATCACTTGACCTCACTGACGTTGTGGACTTCCTTTCTAAATCTGTGATGGGATTTTCACGAGCGACTGACTAAAATCACGAGCAACTGACTATAATCACGAGCGACTGACTATAATCACGAGCAACTGACTATAATCACGGTTTCTTAGCCAAACGTTCTAGGGTGTGGTATGGATGACGGTGTGCTTTCTGCTTCTGCTTCATGGGAACCAAGAATGCCCTCGGCGGCAGGCCAGCACTGATCGGTCGCAGAGTGTTCCGTACGCCATCTCGTGAGATGGGTTTGATTGTCGCATGAAATCGTGGTAACATTGGCAAGTCCAAACCCATGCAGCGAAACTTGTGTGAGCATTTCAGTGTTCAGCATCCTCGCTAGCCAATCTCCTTCCACAACTTTGTACCCTGGAAAGCTCTCATATCCAAAGAAACTCACCTCCCCGACCTCACACACTTCAGGATGTCATGGCAGCCGTAATGCCCTGCTAGCCTCAGTGCCTGCGCTTCTCCATCTCCTCTCGCCCTCACCACCTCCTTCATCTTCCCTTCCATCCAACATTCGCCTTCATTCCCCTCCTGCTCTTCCGCTCCTCCCGCTCACCCCCCCTCCGCGCCGTGCGTGCGGGGGCAGCAGTGGCGCCATGCGAGGGGGAGCGAGGGCGCAGGGCGAGGGGCAGCAGCGGGGCGGAGAGGACGGGCTGCTAACCGTCATGCAGCCGTCTGGCTCCGTGCAGGTGGGCTCCGTGCAGGTGGGATGCGGTGGGATGGGGTGGAATGGGACCCATGCAAGTGGGCTGCCTGGGCTGGGTGCATGCGTGCGAGTGAACTGGGGGGGTCGTGGCGCGTCGAGGCGGTGCTGCCTGCGCCTACCTGTGCTGACCTGCGCTGCGCCTACCAGGTATGAAAGCCCAAGGTATAGCAATCTACTGAAACGGCGCTTTCTCGTCCTCTTGTTCTCTCCAACCCCTTTCCCCACTCCCACCCCTCTCTCTCCCACCCCTCTCTCTCCCACCCCTCTCTCTCTCACCCCTCTCTCTCCCACCGCTCTCTCTCTCACCCCTCTCTCTCCCACCCCTCTCTCTCCCACCCCTCTCTCTCTCACCCCTCTCTCTCCCACCCCTCTCTCTCTCACCCCTCTCTCTCCCACCCCTCTCTCTCTCACCCCTCTCTCTCCCACCGCTCTCTCTCTCACCCCTCTCTCTCCCACCCCTCTCTCTCCCACCCCTCTCTCTCTCACCCCTCTCTCTCCCACCCCTCTCTCTCTCACCCCTCTCTCTCCCACCCCTCTCTCTCTCACCCCTCTCTCTCCCACCCCTCTCTCTCTCACCCCTCTCTCTCCCACCCCTCTCTCTCTCACCCCTCTCTCTCCCACCCCTCTCTCTCTCACCCCTCTCTCTCCCACCCCTCTCTCTCTCACCCCTCTCTCTCCCACCCCTCTCTCTCCCACCCCTCTCTCTCTCACCCCTCTCGCTCCCACCCCTCGCCTGCCATCCAATCGCATCGCAGGTGGTGGATGTCGACCTTCCCACCGCTGCTGCTGCTGCTCGCATCAACACCAGGTGCTGCCCCCCCACCCACTACCCCGCTGCTCCACTGCCCGTGTCATTCCAGCCTCTCTTACCCGCCCCTACTACCTCGCTACCGCACTCTTAGTCCCTGCGAATCTACTGTCCCTGTGAATCTACTGTCCCTGTGAATCTACTGTCCTTGCAAATCAACTGTCCCTGCGAATCTACTGTCCCTGTGAATCTTTTGTCCCTGCGAATCTTCTGCCAAACCAACGCTTGTGTCGTTCTTACCTGAACCGTGCCTGCATTCCACTTTCCTGTCACCATCTCTTAGCACTAAACCCTAAACCCTAAACCTTAAACCCTAAACCCTAAACCCTAAACCCTAAACCTTGAACCCTAAACCCTAAACCCTAAACCCTAAACCCTAAACAGTGCTCTGCTCATCAGCTTCCCCTCTCATGCCCTTCGCATGCTCCTCCAGTCATATGCCCCTTCCATCACATCACATGCCCCTCTCATCACATCACATGCCTCTCACATGCCTCTCACCATGGTTCGCTCGGCCCCATCATCTTCCATCATCCATGTCATTTCTCCTGCCCCCTCGTCCCTCCCACTTCACCCCGGCATCTCCACTCCACCAACCCCTCTCAACCCCCCTCTCCCACTCCCCCTCCCTCTCTCCCCCTGCCACATTCCCCCCTTCCTCCTCCCTCTCCCCTTGCAGCCCCGCCGCAGCCCCAACCACCAGCCCATCGGCCTCATCCACTGCAGCTCCACCCTTAGCAGCAGCCACAGCAGCAGCAGCACCAGGTGCAGCGGCGGCATCGTCGCCGGTGCGGCTGGACTTCCTGTCGCGCGCGCGCAGCGTGTTCATGAGCGCCGTGCTCTCCGACCCCGACGCCCATGCCCTGCGCCAGGAAGGTGAGCACGAGGAAGGTGAGATTGAGGAAGGTGAGACTGAGGAAGGTGAGACTGAGGAAGGTGAGATTGAGGAAGGTGAGACTGAGGAAGGTGAGTTGGGCACAAGGGGAACGCGCAGGGGGCGTTGGAGGGGTGAGGGATGTGGGAGTGGGTGGGGTGAGGGGAGAGGGCGCGTGAGGAGACTTGGGGACGAGCAGAGCAGAGCAGAGCATGTAACGAGAGGTCGGAGATGTGGAGGAGGGATGGGATGAGATGGGATGGGCATGATGAGCAGAAGGCGTCATGGTTGGCGAGAGGAATGTCACCTGTGGACGTGACATGGCATGGCACGGCATGGCATGGCACGGCACGGCATGGCACGGCACGGCATGGCATGGCATGGCACATGGTGTCGGAGCTGTTGGAGTCTTGATGCTGTGCATCTCATTCACGCTGCTACACCCATATTATCTTCCAAACTACTAAAACCCCCTTCGTAGCATTCCTCCTAAGCCCTGCTCCTCCCCTCCGCTCCCCTTTCGTCCCCTCTCCTCCCTGCACGTAAAGATGGTGAAGCGGCATCTGCACTATCCAACTCATCATCTGCACATCCCACTTCCTTTCCTGCTCCTCGCCTCCCCTCTCCCCACGTCTCCCCCAACCAGCCAGCCGCGTGCTGGGGGGGGGCGACATCAAGATAGTGAAGCGGCGCGACCTGGCGGAGGCGGGGGGGCGGGTGGGCGAGGAGAAGCAGTTCTGCGCTCTCAAGCACAGCGAGTGGCTGCGCTGCCTCCGAGAGGAGCTCATGCTGCTGCGGGTGAGCTGAGCTGGGGGGGTGCCATGGCATGGCGCCACCTCATGCTGCACATGCCACTGCACCACTGCACCACTGCATCACTGCATCCATTCTCCTCAACATCCTCGCCCTGACTCCCCACCCCCCATTCCCTTTCTCCCCCTGTCCACACCCGTACAGCCTCTCTGCCCCTCATCCTCCAATTCCCATGTCCACTCGCATCATCCCCTGCGCCTCTCCCCCTTCCCTCCGCCCCCCCCCCCCCCCCCCCCAGATCGGGCGACAGAACAGCATGCTGGACCACACGCCCTCCCACCGCCCCTCTTGCCGCAACTCCCATGTCCACCCCGCCCCACCCCCTCTCCCCCTCCCCTCTCCTCTCCCCCCCCCCCTCCATCAGATCGAGCGACAGAACAGCATGCTGGACTACACGGCCTCCCACCGCCCCTCCCCCGCGTCCCCCTCCCTGCGCCTCGCGGACTTCCCTTCCCCTTCCCCTCCGCCGCTCGCCTCCCACTCCTTCCCCGCGCACACCAGCAGCCCCAGCAGCAACGACGCCACTGCCTGGCTGGCAGGGGGCCGGCCGTGGGAGCAGCAGCAGCAAGGGATGGCGGGCGAGGGGGCGATGGGGGCGCGCATGAGGGCAATGGGTGCTGCTGATGGCATGAGGGCCATGGGTGCTGCTGATGGCATGAGGGCAATGGGTGCTGCTGATGGCATGAGGGCAATGGGTGCTGCTGATGGCATGAGGGCAATGGGTGCTGCTGATGGCATGAGGGCAATGGGTGCTGCTGATGGCATGAGGGCAATGGGTGCTGCTGATGGCATGAGGGCAATGGGTGCTGCTGATGGCATGAGGGCAATGGGTGCTGCTGATGGCATCTTCCCTGCGCTGCCTGCCTCTGCCTCCCCGTGGTCACCAGTAGCAGCAGCAGCAGGTGGAGGGGCAGGAGGGGCGGCGAGTTGCAGTCCTGTGCAGCGCAGCATGAGCATGGCGCCCACCAGGGCGCTGCAGCAAGGTACTCACGTGGGTGGGTGGCACACAGCAGGTGGCACACAGCAGGTGGCACACAGCAGGTGGCACACAGCAGGTGGCACACAGCAGGTGGCACACCGCAGGTGGCACACCGCAGGTGCATAAGAGAAGAATTCGCGTGGGTGGCACTGTGCCGCCCTGGAGGGCTGCTGCTGACGTGGCCGCATCCTGCATTCCCCCATGCTCCACCAGTGCTCCTTGTGTCACATGCACACATGTAATTCTCCATGCCATCAATGCCGCTCCACTGATGCTTCTTCCTCCTTGTTCCAGTCACTTCATCACACCTTTCCCCTCCCTCCCTTTCCTCCCTCCCTTGCCCTCCATCCCTTCCCTTCCCTCCCCTCCCATCCCTCCCTCCCCCCCTTCCCTTCCTTTTCCCCTCCCCCTGTCACCACCCCCCTGTTACCATCCCCCTGCCTGCGCCAACAGCCGATGCAAGGCTAGCCAAGCGCCCTCTGCCCGTGCCTCTCCCCGTGTTCAGCCCGTCCTCGCACCCCTCGCCCCCCGCCCGCCCCACACCCACCACGCCTGCCCTCCTGCGCCTCTCCTCCATGTCCCTCTGCTCCTCCTCTTCCCCCCTCGACCACTTCCTTGCCTCCACCTCCGCTGCCGCTGCCGCTGCAACCACCACAAGCAACGGCGGCGGCAGCAGCGGCGGCAGCAGCAGCAACAACAACGTCACCACGAGCAGCAGAGGCGGGGGTGATGGTGATGCCACGTGCTCCGCCACGTGCCCCCGAGAGCCCCCTGCAGGCGGGCAAGCGTGCCCGGTGGTGCAGCAGCACACGCGGCACAGCAGCCTGGCTCTCAGGGGCGGCGATGGCGACTCCCTGCCCGCCCTGCTCGCCCACTGGCCCTCCCACCCCCACCCCCACCGCCACCGCCACCGCCGCAGCACCACCATTGGTGAGGGGGTGAAGGCTGGGGGACGGGTGGGAACGGCAAGGGCGAGGGAGAGGGAAGGAGGGAGGGAGATGGAGATTGAGAGCTCGAGGAAGAGCAACAAGGGGGGAGGAAAAATGAGGAAGATCAACAAGGGGGGAGGAAAAATGAGGAAGATCAACAAGGGGGGAGGAAAAATTAGGAAGATTAACAAGGGTGGAGGAAAAATGTGGAAGATCAACAATGGTGGACGAAAAATTAGGAAGATCAACAATGGTGGAGGAAAAATTAAGAAGATCAACAAGGGTGAAGGAAAGATTAGGGAAGTAAGGGAGGCTTCCCTTACTTGCGTCACCGTCATCCTTCTCCCCCGTTCCCTCCCCCTCAGGGTCCCTGACCGATTTGGACCATGAAGCGGGCGGCAGCGGGCGGCAAGCAGCGATGGTGGCGGCAGAGGCGGCAGCAACGGGTGGGCAGCGCATGGTGCGCATGTGGGAGCGCTTGAAACGCATCATGCCGCCGCCCAGAGGTTCCGACCTTGAGGTGTGTCTGATATGCAAGCATTGAACACTTAGCCTGGATTTACTATGCGTTTTTTTTTTTTTTTTTTTTTTTTTTTTTTTTTTTGAGGTGTTTGCTGGGAGAGAGAGACCATTCGAGGTACCATGTGCTTCATGCATGGCTTGCATCAGCCTCTGCGTCATGCATGGCTTGCATCAGCCTCTGCGTCATGCATGGCTTGCATCAGCCTCTGCGTCATGCATGGCTTGCATCAGCCTCTGCGTCATGCATGGCTTGCATCAGCCTCTGCGTCATGCATGGCTTGCATCAGCCTCTGCGTCATGCATGGCTTGCATCAGCCTCTGCGTCATGCATGGCTTGCATCAGCCTCTGCGTCATGCATGGCTTGCATCAGCCTCTGCGTCATGCATGGCTTGCATCAGCCTCTGCGTCATGCATGGCTTGCATCAGCCTCTGCCCATTCCAACTCGCTCCTCTCCTCATCGCCGTTGTACTTCCACCCACCACGTTTTCCCTCATCCTCTTCTGCTCTTAGCAGGAAGCCTCGCCACGCCTCTCTCTGCTCTCGCCTCGCTGCCCCACCCAGCAGCATCGCAACCACAGCTCCAGTTTCGGGGCGAGCATGGGCATGGGCATGGGCATGGGCATGGGCATGGGAGTGGGCATGAGCGGGGGGGCGAGTGTGATTCAGCTGCCAGCGGGGATGACGCTGGTGGAGGCGCTGCTGGCGGGCCGTGTGCCGCGCAACCAGAGGGGCGCCGCCTGGGTCGCCATCGCCACCGCCCACCCTCATGTCAGTCACTGCCCACCCTCATGTCAGTCACTGCTGCCGCTGTCGCCGCCGCCGCCGCCGCTGCCGCCGCCGCCGCCGCTGCTGCTGCTGCCCCGCCTGCTGCTGGGATGTCAGTGCGCCCACTGGTGCGGCTGCTGCTACCCCGCCTGCTCTGCTCAAGCCTGATCTGCTAGAATCCCCACCTCTGCATTGTCATGCCTCAATGCACCTCAACGCACCTCAACGCACCTCCTCCATGTCTTCACATGAGCTACCTGCTCTCAATCCATTGCACCATCCTTTTGACTAATTTGTTGTTTCCCCCCTTCTCCTTACCCTCCTTCGCTCCCCTTGCTCTCCCCTCTCCTTACTCCCTTTTCCAACCTCCTCTCCCTCCTCTCCCTCCTCTCCCCTCCACCCTCCCTCCACCCTCCCTCCACATGCCATGCCACCTATCACACACCGCATCCCCCCACCCTCGCCTCTCCTCTCACCACCAGGACGCCCTGGCGGATGGCAGCAGCTACGCCTCTCTGCTCATGCAGCCCTCCGCCTCCGCCAAGTGAGCTCCCCACCCCCACACACGCCAAGTGAGCTCCCCACCCCCACACACGCCAAGTGAGCTCCCCACCCCCACACACGCCAAGTGAGCTCCCCACCCCCACACACGCCAAGTGAGCTCCCCACCCCCACACACGCCAAGTGAGCTCCCCACCCCCACACACGCCAAGTGAGCTCCCCACCCCCACACACGCCAAGTGAGCTCCCCACCCCCACACACGCCAAGTGAGCTCCCCACCCCCACACACGCCAAGTGAGCTCCCCACCCCCACACACGCCAAGTGAGCTCCCCACCCCCACACACACGCTCTCATGGCAGGTCACACAGACGCTCAAGTGGCAGGCCACACAGACGCTCAATCAAGTGGCAGGCCACACAGACGCTCAATCAAGTGGCAGGCCACACAGACGCTCAATCAAGTGGCAGGCCACACAGACGCTCAATCAAGTGGCAGGCCACACAGACGCTCAATCAAGTGGCAGGCCACACAGACGCTCAATCAAGTGGCAGGCCACACAGACGCTCAATCAAGTGGCAGGCCACACAGACGCTCAATCAAGTGGCAGGCCACACAGACGCTCAATCAAGTGGCAGGCCACACAGACGCTCAATCAAGTGGCAGGCCACACAGACGCTCAATCAAGTGGCAGGCCACACACACAGTTCCCCCTCCACCTTTCTGCTCGCGCTTGTCGTTGCATACCCCATCCCTCCCATTCACTCCATTCCCCCCCATCCCTCTCATTTCCCCCATTACCCCCATCCCACCATTCCCTCCATTACCCCCATTACCCCCATTCCTCCCTCCCCCCCCCCCCCCCACGGGGCGCAGGGAGATAGAGCGGGACGTGAACCGCACCTTCCCCAACCACCGCCTCTTCCAGGAGGAGAGGGGCGCCGGCCAGCAGTCGCTCTTCAACGTCATCAAGGCCTACTCCGTACCGCACCGCAACCCACCGCACCCCCCACCCTTCCCTGCCCTGCCCTGCCCTGCGGTGCCCTGCATCACCCTTCCCCCCACCCCCCACTGTGCTGCCCTGCTATGTGCTCTCTGCCCTTCCCTGCAATGTGCACCTCTGCTCCGCTGCACCCTTCTGTTTCGTGGTGCCCTGCTTTGTGCCATGGCATTCCATTAATGCCATGCCATTCCATTAATGCCATGCCATTCCATTAATGCCATGCCATTCCATTAATGCCATGCCATTCCATTAATGCCATGCCATTCCATAAATTCCATGCCATTCCATTGATGCCATGCAATTCTATTGATGCCATGCCATGCCTTGCCCACCCTACCTTTCTCTTGCATTCTGGTCCTTGCTCCGTCCCTCCGGTCCCTTCTCGGCTCTCGCCCCGCCCCTGCACGCCGCGTGCCTGCCCATGGCGCGCATCAGGTGTTGGACAAGGAGGTCGGCTACTGCCAGGTAACTTCCCCTTGCCTTGCCCTCTCTCCCTCTTCTCGCCCTCTTTCCCTCCTTTTCCCCTTTCGTATTTTTTGCATTCCAATTATTTTTTCACTCCTACTCACCATCTAGCCCTTTTTTTTCCCCTTCCCTTCTTCCCTTCTTCCCTTCCTTCCCTTCCCTCTCCTTGTTACTTCGCCTCCTTTCCTTTGCCCCTCCTCTCTAGCCCCGCCTCTCCACCCATCCCTTCCAGTCGTGCCCATGTGTCCTCACCACCTGTAGCTTGATTCCTCACAGCTCCGTCGCTTGCTTTCGTAGAGAACCATGTTGATCAGTTGTCTCACATGCCTCCACTCCACTGCCTCTTCCCCTCCCCATCCCCCACACCCCACATCTCTCTCTCTTCCTCTCTGCCCCGTTGCCTCTGCCTGCCTCCATCACTCCCCCCCACCACGCCATCATCTCCGCTGCCCATGTGTGCTGCACTGCACGGTGCATCTTGCGTGTATGCGTGGCGCATGGCATGTTGCGTGTGTGCATGGCAAATGGCACGGCGGGCAGGGCATGGGGTTCATAGCGGCGACGCTGCTGATGAGCATGGGGGAGGAGCACGCTTTCACGTGCCTCGTCTTCCTCATGTACCGCTGCGGCCTGCGAGGCGTCTTCCTGCCCGACATGCAGCAGGTGGGTCTTAAAGCCCGACATGCAGCAGGTGGGTCTTAAAGCCCGACATGCAGCAGGTGGGTCTTAAAGCCCGACATGCAGCAGGTGGGTCTTAAAGCCCGACATGCAGCAGGTGCCGTGGGGTGGGGCGTTAAGACATGCAGCAGGTGCCGTGGGATGGGGCGTTAAGACATGCAGCACGGTGTGGCCTTTAAGACATGCAGCAGGTGTGGTGGGGCGTTGAGACATGCAGCAAGTGGGGCATTGTGTGCACAACTCGCATGCTATTGCCATCCCATGATGCCTTCTCTGGATCTTGCTTAACATCACATCCCTCCCTCTCCCTCTCCTGTACGCATGTGGGTGTGTGCATGTGGGTGTGTGCATGTGGGCGTGTGCATATGGGTGTGTGATATGTGCGTGTGCACGTGTGTACATGTGTGTACTGCGTGATTTTGCATGCCCGTGTGGGTGAATGCCCCTGTGCCCGCCCACTGGCAGCTGCAAGTGCGCATGTATCAGCTCACGCAGCTGCTCATCCACACGCTGCCACGCGTGCATGCCTTCTTCGAACACCTCGACATCAAACCCGTATGACACACCCATGCCATGCCATGCCATGCCATGCCATGCCACGCTATGCCGTGCTGTGCCATGCCATGCCATGCTACCCCATGCCACGCCATGCCATGGACTGCCACCCGACGCTATACCAGTACTTGTGTTGTGCCTCAGCTATTGGATTTAATCACCACGCCGCACAGCACCACTCATTCCTCTCACTTGAGCTTTGAAACGTCAGCCCAAGAACATCACAGCCGTTCGTCGGCATCGCACACGTCAGGTGTCCTCTCCCTATGCACACCATGTCCCATCACGCCCCACACCACCCCACCATGCCCCATACACACCATGCCATGCCATGGCGTGGCGCCACCTTGGTGATGTACGCGGCAGACTGGTTCCTCACCCCATGCATACCATGCCCTATTATTCCCTCCCTACCACGCCCCACCACGCCCCACCATGCCCCACCATGCCCCACCATGCCCTGTGCCATGGCACCACGCCGCGCCACCAGGTGATGTATGCGGCGGACTGGTTCCTCACTCTCTTCGCGCGCACCATGCCTCACTACCTCGTCTTCCGCGTCTTCGACATCATCCTCGGTACGCTGACATCATCCTCGGTACGCTGACATCATCCTCGGTCCGCTGACATCATCCTCGGTACGCTAACGTCTTCAGCAGCTGTTGTCATTCTGAACAGTCCCATCAGCAGCTGTACCTGATCACGCCTTTTTCCCTCTCATCCCTCATTTTCCATCTCCAATCTCTCATCTCTCATCTCTCATCCCTCATCTCTCATCCCTCATCTCTCATCTCTCATCTCTCATCTCTCATCTCTCATCTCTCATCTCTCATCCCTCATCTCTCATCTCCCATCTCTCATCTCTCATCTCTCATCGCTCATCTCTCATCTCTCATCTCTCATCTCTCATCTCTCATCTCCCATTTTGCATCACGGCAGCGGAGCAGACCACGGCAATTGTCTTCAAGCTCGCCATCGTTCTCCTGCAGGTATTTTTCCTCCCACCTCATCCCACCTCTTCCCACCTCCTCTCACCTCCTCCCACCTCCTCCCACATCCTCCCATCTCTTCCCACCTGTTCCCTTGCCCCACTGCTCTACCATCCCTCCCTCCTTTTTTCACCCACTTCCCATTACCCACCTCTCCTCTCCTCCCACAAACCGCCTCTTCCCATCCGTATTTCCCGTTCCCCTCCCCCGTCCCCTCTCCCCATTCCCTCCTCCTCCCATCCCCTCTCCCCGTTCCCCTTCCCATTTCCTTCCCTCCAACACTCCTCCCCAACGGTCCCCACCCCGCACCAGGTGTGCAGGCGGCAGCTACAGCAGTGCCCGGAGATGGAGTATGCCATGTGCCTGCCGCGCACACAAATCCCCTCATCTGCTTTCGCCAACCTGCTAGAACAAGCAAGCTTTGCTTGCTCGCACGCTTTGCTCAAATGACTCCGGAAGTTCTTAAGGACCGAATAATTTGTCTCAAAATATGATAGACAAATTAGCAGGCTTATGGGAAGGAACTAAGCATCCCATTCTCCTCTCCCCGTCCCTTTTCCTGCCCTTCCTCCCCGTTTCCTTCCCTGGTCCCATCTCCCCAACCCCTCCCCGTCCTCTCCCCTCTTCGACTTCCCCCGTCTCCCCACACCAGGTGTGCAGGCGGCAGCTGCAGCAGTGTCCGGAGATGGAGTACGCCATGTGCCTGCTGCGCACCGAGCTGCCCGCGCAGCTCAAGGTGACCTCTCTCGCAATCCTGTGATAGTTGTGAAGAATAACCTCTCACTAGTTTGATGAGAGTGGATGAGGTATACATTGTTGGAAGCGAAAAGCGGTGGGCGGGGGGTTGGTTGGGTTTTTAGCCAACATTATTGGCCCCCACCAATACGTCGGGCTGGAGAATTATTGGGGGGTATCTCAATAATGTTGGTCATGGCTGGGCCAAGATTATGTGGGCGGTCCAATAATCTCCCAACCCAACTTTAAGGGTCAGATAGTTGGACCAAGATCGAGTTCCCACCTTCCAACTAGGGTTAGTCTTATTTGTGCACCCGAACCAAGTTTGGGAGTCTATTTGTACCCAAGTTTATAGAAGAGATGTAGGATACAAGGAGAAGTATGATCCGAAGTTCACCCCCTGGTACTGCACAGTCCCTCACCGTACTTCACGGCACCCCATATTCCCTCACAGTGACTCACAGTACTTCCAGCCTCATGCTTCAAAGATGCAAGGTGCCTCAGTTTCGTGTTTAAAACCACATACACCCATTCTACCATCATCCACCCATTCTACCATCATCCACCCATTCTACCATCATCCACCCATTCTACCATCATCCACCCATTCTACCATCATCCACCCATTCTACCATCATCCACCCATTCTACCATCATCCACCCATTCTACCATCATCCACCCATTCTACCATCATCCACCCATTCTACCATCATCCACCCATTCTACCATCATCCACCCATTCTACCATCATCCACCCATTCTACCATCATCCACCCATTCTACCATCATCCACCCATTCTACCATCATCCACCCATTCTACCATCATCCACCCATTCTACCATCATCCACCCATTCTACCATCATCCACCCATTCTACCATCATCCACCCATTCTACCATCA